GATCCACAACAGTACAAGAACCCTTCAAATAGCTCTCCTCTTGGGGACACCACCATTTCTTCTGTTCCTGCAGTCCCCCTTTCCCAGCCCTAGACACTGTGCCCGTTGCTCTTGTCACCACAGCCTCCAGAAAAGGCTGTGTCCTCCGGGGGAGGCTGTGATTTAAGGCTCAGCCCGAGTGCTGACATGTGAGGGGGGAGCTGGTGGGGGCAGCGTGAGGGGGAAGTGCTTCCCCCCTGCCAGGCGCCCCATCTGGACAGCGAGGCTGCAACCTGATCTTCGGGCTGAGAGCTGCTCTATTTTGGGGGTGGCACTGGAGGCCCAGGCACCCTGACTGGGGGAAGGGGTGCCTCCTGCCCCTGCTACAGGCTTGGAACATAGGCCTTGGCCTGTGGGCTGTTCCAGAGGGTGGGGGCGGCACCTCCTCCTGATCCCTGGTGGGCAGACTTGGAAGGGATGGCCAGGGTCCCAGAGGAAGTCTCCCTTGCTCCAAGGGCTGGAGGCTCCAGACCACAGGCATGGACAGAGGAACTGCACACCGGGCTCCTTGTCCCCGCTCTGCCTGCCTCTCACTGTGTGACCTTGGGCAAGTCACTCTCCCTCTCTGGGCCTCAGTGTCCTCATGGTGTCATTTGGAGACTTCAGGGCTTATCCAGCTCTGGGCTTCCATCTTCTTGGCAACAGAGGAAAAGAGCCTCATGCTCAAAGGTTCTAGGGACAGAGGGGCTGGTTCAGACATTTGGAGATGAAGGGAAGAATTCATAAAGGAATGGTTCGAGCATTCTGGGTTAGTGATATTGGGGTTATTACGTGATCACTAGGGTGTCCAGAAAGCATATTTGTCCCTAGAGCACAGCCCGTGAGGGTGGAAGCCCTGGGAGGAGAGGCCACATGGGAGGGGCCAGCAGTGGCTACGACGGGCACAGGTGGCCCCCAGGGCTGGCACGTTCTGATCCTGAGTCGAGGCCAGGAGAGAAGCTGATACCCTCTGCCTGCCCTGGCCTTTCTGCCAGGACCCACCGGGCTGCTGCTGACGACAATGCCTGCCAGAGGTGCAGAGCGAGAGGGTGAGCGTGGACAGGGGCCCCTGAGGACGCTGGGCTCCTGTCCTGCCTTGCAGCCTCCCAGGCGGGTGCTGGCCGCCTTCTTGGCACGGCCGGGACCCTGGGTAGAAGCTGCCTGGGCACAAGCTCTCGTGGAGCCCTGTTGAGCCAGGGCTTCTGGGAAGCTGATGAGACTGAACCTGGCCTAGCAAGATCTGGGGCTGGGGCAGTGGGAGGAGCTCCTGGGCTGTCCACCCACCGCACACCCCATGCCATGGACACATGGCTTAACCCCTGGAGCCTCCACTGCTCCATCTGTAAAATGAGGACATGGGGATGGATGAAATGATGAAATGATCCAAGCAGAAGATGATGCCTTGCAAACCCCACAGTCAGGGGGGTCTACGGGCTGGGGCCAGGAACAGCTGGAAGGGAGAGGAACACAGGCTCTGTGGGAGGAAGGGGGCACTTCCCAGGGGGAGGGGCCTGGGACCTAAGACCCCCAGCACCTCCCGCAGTGGCAGGGCCGGGCCTAAGATCTCTTGCTTTGCAGCCCAGGACTTGGTCCATACCCCAACAGCTGCCTTTCTTTTCCCCCGAATTTTTTTAAAATGAAAAATCTCCATTTACTAGTTAATGAAAAGCTGGATCCAGGGCTGGGTGTAAGAAGGAGGCTGCAGATACAATTCTAGGTCCAGAGGCCTGGGGAGGACCGAGTGAGGAGGGAAGCCTGCCTTTCCTTAAGCCATACTGAGACCAGGGAAGTAGCAGGGGCCGCAGGGGGCTGGCGAATTCTCGAAACGTCCTGGGCCACATTGTTTCAGGGGTGTGTGTGCGCGTGTGTGTGCGTGCATGCAGGCACTGTCTCCATATCAACATTAACTGTCTCCAGATCAAGTCTTCTCTATCATCTATTGGTAAGTAGTTTCTTCATCCAAGTTATTTTGCTTCACAAAGGGATTCATTCGCAAGAAATTTATAATCCAAAAGAATAATATAAAAAATAAAAAGTCAGAAGGTTCTGCTATGCATGTGAATGACCGGCATAGTTTCTGAAAAGTTAATTTAAATCTTTTGAGAAATCTGGGTTGGGCCTCCTGGCACTGCGGAAAATTCAGGAAACGTGAGCATGTCATTCAGCTTCACTGAGCCTCAGTTTCCACATCTGGAAGTTAGGGAGAACAGTTCCTGTCCCCTTGCTGTGATGTAGGGATTAAATGATTGGGTGTTTACAGAGGGCCTGGTCTCTGCTTGTGCAGGGCCAGTCACGGGTCCATGGAGATGCTTCTTGAAGTTTTGCCCTTGATTTGTGTCGGTCACTTGTCATCCAGATAGGTTTCCTGGAGAAGGCATGGCCTTCGAAGCTGTTCTAAGTGAGAGTCCAGGTACAAGCCTGTGCAAACAGGACCAGGAGGAGGAGCTGGGGGCTGTGGGCACCTGGGGTGAGCTACGGGGAGCTCAGGGGGTTGCTGGTGGAGCCCTGAGGATTAGAGGGAGGTAAGTGATTTGGGGGCTGAGCTTACTGGGTATGCCTAAAACAAGGAATGCCATGGAGGGGAAAGGAGAAGAGAGACCCACATTCTCTCAGCCCCCTCCCAAATGCCCTGTGGGGAAGACACATGGGCGAGCCCACTATATAGATGTGAAAACTGAGGCCCATAGAGGGTGCTTGGGCAGCTGCTCATGCTGGTGACTCAGATGAGGAGGGGGAAGACGGATGTCAGTGGCTTTGCCTGAGCTTGTGATGTGTTAGGTTTCATTCCAAGCAAAAAAAATGTTAAAAACCCTCATCAAATAATGATTAAAATACAATAATTTGAAAAAGAAAGAAACGCAGGCTGGGGAGCCCAGGCGACCAGGCTGGAGTGGCACAGTCAGGACGCAACACAGGTGGGTGGAAGTCCCCGGTGTCTGCCGAAGCCTGTGCGCCTTCTTCTGGGCTGGACCTGGGCAGGGGCCTCCTTCTCAGAACGCTTCCCGCTCAGCGCCCCCTCTGTGGAGTTTATTGGGTCCTTAATGGGCTCTCAGAGACATGGCACCTGCCGCCTTTTCTGTTCTAATAAAAGGCAGATGCCCTGGGGGTGGACGGGGGTGGCGTGCATGGGGCTCTGGCTCGTGGCCACTCTGGGCGACACATTCCTGGGTCCTGACTCACAGGGAAACGCTCGTCTTCGTGTCTCCTCAGCACTTTTGGGGCCCGCAGCTGTGGTCGGGTTCCTCCTCCTCCTCCCCTCGTCTCCCGCGGGTCCCTCCAGCTGGAGCTGCTGCTAACGATATTGACCCATCCTTGGCTGTGGAGACTGAGGCTGCCAGAGGGCGGGTGCTGGTTTCCAGGCTGTGCCATGCCGAGTGAGGGAGGGAGGAGAACCTCCTATGGGGGATGCCCTTGACTTGGGGCAGTGAATCTCAATCGGGGGTGATTTGCCCCTCAGGGGATTTTGGGGAATGGGGACATTTCTGCTGTTGGAAGTGGCAGTGTTTGTGCTCCCTGCCGTCCTGTTGGCATTGATAAGGGTGGAGGCCAGCGATGTTGCTAAACATTCTGCAGTGAGCAGGGCAGCACCCACAACAGAGAACCACTGATTGCCCCAAAGCTGGACACCCTGGGCTAGAGTCCCCCACCTCTAGGAGGAATAGGGATTCACTGTCCCCGTGCCACACCCACTCTGGAAGCGTCTCACTGTGGGAGACCCTGGGCCTGACACTGGAGATGCTGAGATGACCCAGTTTCAAATCCTGGTGCCCCCGGGACCCTCCAGTCTGGCGAAGGAGTCAGACAAGTACCTGGCTTGTTCTCAGCCACCACAGCAAGGAAACTCCCAGAGGAGCAAGCAGGAGGTCACGACCCAAAATGTCAGGGAAAGAGCACTAGACAAGGAGTCTGCAGTCCCAGCGCTGACCAGTGAAGAAACACGGACAGGCCCTGTCCCCCTCTTTGGGCCTCATTTTTGTCTTCTGGTCATTGCTGAGCTGAAATCTCTAACTCTCAGAGCCCAGCTGTGACAGTCTTGGGTTCTAGACTCAATTCCTTTGCAGCATGGCAGAGGGGCTTGATGCACAGCGTAGAGGTGGGCAAGCTCTGGCCAAAGCCAGGTGGGCGCCTGCATCTGTAAAAATGTCTCAGTGCTGTGGCATCATCGGCAAAACTGAGTGCTTGCAACAGAGACTGGCTCCCAAGTCCTAAAATATTTTCTATCAGGCCCTTATAGGAAAAGGTTGCCGGCCCCACACTAATGGGCAGATTTCAGGCATAAGTCACTGGCCAGTTGGGGACTAGAGGAAAGACATTTATTTGGCGGGGGGCATGGGAAGGATATATTTTGAAGGAAGTTTCTTTTAGCGCGCTGGTCAGGATCTCAAACTCGGATTCCTCTCTACAGCCTCAGTTTCCCTGTGTGTGACTGGAAATCACTGTACCTACCTGGCACAGTGGGTAAGGAGAGAAAGTCTCGTGCCCCGGCCAGGCTGGCGGAGCTGGGTTATTTATGGGTTTCTGCCGGGAGCGGGGCTGCAGGCCGCTGGCCGTGTCTGACCTGAATTCTTACACTTACAGGAAATTAGAGCCCTTGGAAGCAGGTGCACTGGGATCCCAACACTCGAGTGGCTGAGAGGGCGATGTGGCTGAGGCGACAGGGAAGGGGGCTGGACCAGGCTGAGGGCTGGAGGAGGGGCCGGTCCCGAGGGGACGGGGGCTCCAACCCCACCTTCCTGCTGTAATGACCACTACCGTTCACGGGGTTCTTGCTCTGTGCTTTGCTTGTTTGCTCACCTAATCTTCCCAACATGCCTCTAAGGTAAGATGATTGCCCCTCATTTTACAGATGGGGAAACTGAGGCTTGGTGAGCTGTGCTCACTTGCCCATGGGCACAGAGCAGGAGTTAGAGTCAGGATTTGAACCCAGGAAAGGCTGTGCAATTCCGATTCTTATATCCTGTTTTCTTTACCAGCCACTTACTGGTGAGGAGGTCTCCAAGGAAACTCCAGAACATTCTGTGTGTTTTGGTGATTGCTTGCTGAGGTGGCAGTGGGCGTGGAGCATCTGAAGGTCCAAGGTGGGAAAGAGTCAGGGTGTGTGGTTTAATGGTCCAGTTCCAGGGTTGGAGCAGGAGGCTCAGTGGTCGGTGTCTGTGGCACACAGTCGTGGGGCTTTTGGGAGGTGGTCGTAGGTCAGGGAGTGCCAAGTCGGGGGCCAGGAGCCTGGGAGGCTGGAGGGATGGGGTCTGGTCTGCCCTGAGGCCAGGCCAGGGGCATGTGGGAGGCTGAGGTGCCCTGGGTGGGCTGCCCGTCTGCAGCAGGCAGGTGTGTGAGCCTCGTGCACACTGGGGCATGTGTGACGAGTCTTTGATCTATAAGAATGTGTGTGAGTGTGATTATGTGTGCAACAATGTGTGTGTGAGATGGGGAGGCGGTGTGATGGTCTGAATATTTGGATGTTTGCAGGGGCGGGTCAGGCTTGGTGAGGCCCAAGCTGTCTTCAATTTTGGGACCTTCTTTATAAAAAAGAATGCAAAATGACATATACTAAAGAGACTTTAAAACGAGAAAAGAAACCACAACGAATTACTCAATTTTTAAGCTGACAAATATCACAAACATTACCAAATCCAGAAAAAATGATAATATTTGTATTAATTAACTCCCTGGCACGCTCCTATTCTACTGATTTTTATTTCTCTTTTTGGCTTTGACCATCGTGTGAACACATCTCAAGGGCCCTCCTGAGGCCCTGGAAGGAGGCTGCAGCTCCAGCCTCAGGATGTGTGAGTTTGTGTGAGTGACTGAGGGTGTGTGTGTGTGGGGGGGTGTGACCAAATGTTGGGGCTGTTTCACAAAAGACAGAGGTGGAGAGCAAGGCGGTCGTGGCAGACCGGCTCAATGGACATTTGTTGAATAAATAAAAAAGAAGATCGAATGTGTGTGCTACTGTGTGTGTAGGAGATCCATGTGTGTTTAAGCATGTGCACATGTGTAAATGCATGCATGTGCAGGAGTGGCCATGGGGAAAGAGTGTGTGTGAGTCTGTGTGATTCCTCAGTGTCTTTTCTTTGGCATTCTAGTTTTAGGGAGCCCCTCCCTGCCTGCACCTCCACCCCCACCCATACCCCGCCCAGAGGCAGATGGGCAGAGACACGCTGTGGCATTTGGTCCAGGCCTTGCGGGGACAGGCTCAGTGCGAGGAATTCACAGCTCCTTCCCCTGCCCCATCTCCCTCCTCCCATCGATGAAATGTTGGTAATTCAATCCACGGAGAAGCCCGGTGTCCCAGGGAGAGGCTGGCATGGGCCGTGTGTGTGTGTGTGTGTGTGTGCGCGTGTGAAGACACTTGACTGCTTCCAAGCTGGTGGGCTCCCAGCTCATGCCCTTCCTCATACAAATGGGGACCCCAAGCCTCAGGGGCAGGGAGGGGACATGTCTGGACAAATCAGCAGGAGCAGGTTGGGACCAGATTCAGCTGTCCCAGGTCAGTGGTTCCGACACAAATGATCATTGCAGAGCACTTGCTATAGACTAAGTGCTGGGTCAGGCCAAGGGGTGGAGGGTGGCTGGATGGAAAGAATCCTCTCTGAGCTGCAGCCACTTTTAGAAAAGTAGAAGACCCTGTAAGGAGGTCCTGGCAAAGAGGAGATGTCTGTATTTTGGGGGAGCAGCCATGGAGAAGCAGGCAGGGCTAGATTGCGAGGGTCCAGCCCACCAGCCTGGGGAACCTGATTTGCTCCTGAGGGGAATGGGAAGGGGTTAGAGGGTCGGGGCTGGGGGGTGGGGTGGGCACAGATTTGGGTTTCAGAAGAACGGGCTTCTGTGGGGGAAGTGGAGGGGCTGCTGGGGCCCACTGCCACCAAAGAACAGAGTGCCCCATCTGGGCAAGAGCTGGCAGGTCTGATGGGGTTGGGATTGCTAGGCTGGAGACGACCCCAGACTCTGGCCTTTTTCACCACTCAGCCCCCTTCCCCATCAGCTTTCTCCTAACAGATAGGCCTTAACCCAGCTGGATCCAAGAGAGGCCCTGCACTTGAACTTGGAGGAAGAGTGAGTGGCACTGGAGCTGGGCCTTCCAATAGGAGCAGGGTTTCTGCAGGGGAGCCGAGAGGGAGAGAGGAAGCCCAGAAGAAGCCTCACGGAGAGCAAAGGCAGGGAGGTGGCCACGGTCCTGCTCCCGCAGTGGCCTATGCTTTTCGCCCATGGCAAGGAAGAGCTTAGAGCCCCTTTACTTGGTCCCTAAAGGCGGCAACCGAGCCACATGCTGCTAGGGATCTTTGGTGTGCCTGGAACTTCAGGCCAAGGTTAAGGTAGAAAATGTGAACCCACGGTAGGCCCTGCTCAAATTCCACCTGCAGAAAGACAATTCCTAGGGCTTGTGAGAGATGCTGATCCCTCCAGACCCACCCTGCCCCTCCCCAGACCTGCCCTGGGCTCTGGGACCTGACGACCCCAGGTGGCACCATCTGGGTCCCTCGCTGTCTGGCTTCTGGGTGGCCTTGGGCAGTGGGGGGGTGACTGCTGAAGTGGGTCACGGGATTTATTTCTCTGCTGCCTCTCTGCTGAGTTGCATGGGCTGGCTTCATCCCTCTCCTGCTCTGGACACAGCCCCTCTCTGGGATCTGGTAGCTATCCTCCCTTCCCCCTTCACCCTTCGGGCTTGAGGGTGGAAGCAGCTTTCTGTTCCTACCAGCCCCTGGGTACAGCACTGTCGCTGGGCAGTTCCTCTTAACCCCACCCACGCCTCTGTGGTAGGGCTTTGTATATTTAAAAACAGATTTAAAAACACATGAAACAGAGACAGGGTCTTGCTATGTTGGCCAGACTGGTCTTGAACTCTTGGCCTCAAGTGATCCTCCCACCTTGGCCTTCCCAAATGCTGGGATTATAGACATGAGCCACCGTGCCTGGACTGCAAATCCCTTTTCTGTGAGACTGTTTCCTGTTAGGACCTTGGCCATGTCTCCCTGACCTGTCTCCTGCTAGCCTTCCCTTCCCTCTCCTCTGGCTGGGCTCCCACCCTTCCCTTAGCTGGGTTGAGGAATGTCACTTTCAAGTTCTCAGTGGGGCCGGAGCTCTGTGGGAGGAGAACCCCAGAATTGTTTCCACAAACATCAAACTCCACAACCACAATGTTAGATAAATAAGGTCTGGCAGGCAGGGCGGCCGCTCAGTCCTGGAGCTCCGGGGAAGGCCTTTGCTCCTGTCTGACCAGTCTAGTCTGTTCACACCCTGAGCCTGCTGGTGTTTTGGTGTCTGCCACCCTCTGGGGTCTTCCAGGCCCTCACTGTGCCTCAGGCCCATAGAGAGGCTATAGCCCGTCACAGCGGCCCTGACGCTGGGCTCCCTGCAGCTTCTCCCAGGGTGCACTAAGGATGCTTCTCCCATGCAGTGAGTTCTTCCCACATCTGATCACCCCCTCCCCTGCTTTCTGTGCATTTCACAGGGTTCTTCTTGGCCACCATCAACCAGCACCCCCAGCTGCTACCAAGGTGCAAGAACACGCCGTGGCTGTGAGAGGACTGTAGGGGGCGAGGGCAGAGGAAGGAGCCAGCCAGGGGGCTCCCAAAACAATCCAGGCAGGAGAGAGTGGTGGCCTGGACAAGGGTAGCAGCCCTGCAGGTAGAGGAAACTGGCTGGATTCCAGAAATTCTCCCATTTCAGCACCCAGACTCCAGGCAGAGTAGAAACGGATGCTCTTGGCCGGGCGCGGTGGCTCACAGCTATAAACCCAGCACTTTGGGAGGCCGAGGCAGGGGAATCACCAGATCAGGAGATCAAGACCAACCTGGCTGACACAGTGAAACCCCATGTCTACTGAAAAATTAGCCAGGTGTCGTGGTGCGCGCCTGTAATCCCAGCTACTCAGGAGGCTGAGGCAGGAGAATTGCTTGAACCCAGGAGGCAGAGATTGCAGTGAGCCAAGATTGTGCTATTGTACTCCAGCCTAGGTGACAGAGTGAGCCTCCATCTCAGAAAATAAAATAAAATAAAATAAAATAAAATAAAAAATAAGAAATGGATGCTTTTGGATTTGAGTTCTGAAATTTTGCATCCTGGCCCCCGTGTGACAGCCCAGCCATTCTTCCCTTAGGATGAGAGGCCTGGGAACCTACGAGAGGGGGCTGTGCGTTCGTTCTGTCATCAGGTGTATATCGATCGATTTATTTGACCCCCTGCAGGCGGTGTGCTGAATACCCCATTCCCTGGTGCTGCCAGCTTCTTGGAGTTCTGTAGGTCACCACGTGAGACCTCCCTGCACGCCTATTTTTTCTAATGGAAATACCCGTTGTCTTCTTCCGCAAGCGATCGCAAGAGCTTGCCCAGTGCCTGGCATCGAGGCAGCCATAGCTGGACTTCTACCCTGTTCCAGGCACTGAATCTACCACTGGCCCCGAGAAGCCGGATACTCTTAGCACCATGTTTCCAGGGAGGACACAGAGGCACAGGGGCGTGAGGACCCTGCGCTGGGTGGTGGCAGAGCTGAGCTTTGAACCCAGGTTTGCATGACTCCCAGCCCAGGTCCTGTTCTCTCGGGGGCTGCACCCTCCCCCTGCCCTTTCTCCTTCCCCTCCCACCCAGCAGGGTTGAGCCAGACTGGGGTTCCAAAGCCCTTCCTCCTTCTCGATCCAGAGATAAATATTTGTTTCTCCAGTGTAAATAGCCCTTCGTGTTTAATGAGGCAATTCTAGGGCCATTTCCTGGCACGGCTCAGTGCCTGGAGGTCTCTTTCGCTCAGGAAGGAACAGTCCTAGGAAGAGAGCCGCTAAGGAGGGGCTCAGGGCCTCTGGGCAAATCCTCCCATTTACAGATGAGAAAACTGCCACTCGGAGAGGGCAGCCGACCCATCCAAGGCCATACAGCCAGGATTCAAAGCCATGCTGCTCTGCTTCTGCCTCCAGCCTCTGCCTTCGCACAGGCTTCTCTGGGCTCCTGGACCCTTCCCTGACCCTCCCAGCTGGCTGTGCTGTGACAGTGCTGTGCGAGACTCTGCCCTGCCCCCCGCCCTTGGCATCTCCCGTCAATATGGCACTCATGGCTCCCTGGGCATGGACCCCCTCCTGCCATCCCCACTTAAAGTGATACTTTAATAAATTATGCTTTTATGTTATTACACGTGGAGCTATAAAAGCAGAGAGTGTGCGGCAGGGCTGAGGTAAGGCGCCCGCGACTTTCCAATTTCCTGGTCTGGCCTGGCTCTGCTCTGCACCGTGAATTTTTCATTAATGTACGCGGGTGACGCCACAGGGGCAGCCACAGGCCAGGTAGGCTCCCACGGCGGCAAAGCCCGCTGGCTGGACCTTGCCGGGCTGGACTGGGGACGGCACAGTGGGTTTTGTACCAACAAGGGTTAGAAATAGCATCATACTACGGCTCAAGATCTTGCCCTGGGTTTAAATAGCCAGGTCAGCCAGGCACAGTGGCTCATACCTGTTATCCGAGCACTTTGGGAGGCCAACTCAGGAGAATCTCTTGAGCCCAGGAGTTCAAGGCCAGCCTGGGCAACATAGCAAGACGCTGTTTCTACAAAAAATTTTTAAAAATTAGCTGGGTGTGGTGGCGTGTGCCTGTAGTCCAGCTACTCGGGAGGCTGAGGAGGAAGGATGTCTTGAGCCCCGAGTTGGGGCTGCAGTGAGCTAGGATCACGCCACTGCACTCCAGCCTGGGCGGCAGAGCAAGACCCTGTCTCAAATAAGCATACACACGTAGCAAGTGACAAGAAGCCCTCTGTGTCTAGAGGAAGGAAGGGCGTCCACTGGCCTGTGCCAGGCTCTGGGCCAGAGTTTGTTGCACATGACTTCATTTCACCCTCAAAAAGTTATGAGATGGCCTTATGCACCCCATTTGATGAATGAGGATGGGGGGCTCTTAGTGAGTGGTGGCATCAGCTCTGAAACTGGCCAGTCTGATTCTAGAACCTGAGTTCCTAACTGCTAGGCTGTCTTCCTTCCTTCCTTCATTCTTCTCTCCCTCCTATTCTCCCGCAAGTCTGTGGACCCTTTCCATGTAGTCACAGTTACTGAGGCAATGGGCACGTTGAACAGAGGAAAGAAGACAAACACAGGCTGGAATCTACGGGGAAGGGAGCCTTCTAGACTCCAGACCTTCCGTGTCCAGAAATGTTAGTCTTCCCATCTGTGACGTGGGGCCGCGGAGTCCTGCCCTGCTGTGCTGGGCGTTGACTTTGGGGGAGGGGTCTTGGAATGTCCACGAGGATGCAGCTGTGGCCTTCTGTCTTGGCACAGACCATGGCCACCCAAGGACACTGCGTTTTGTCCCTGAGGTGCTAAGTCTCCTCCAGGGACCAGCCAGGCATCAGTGAAAATTGGTCCAAAGCCACCCACAGAGGCCATGTGTTTCTTAGATAATTCTGGAAGGTTCTAGAATGAGAAGGCAGCAAGAAGGCAAGAACCAAGGCCCAGGAACTGAGCAACTTGTGTGTGTTTGTCTGTAAAGTGAGGCCAGGAATCGTGTGGGGGTCAAATGAGAACAGCTCTGCCTCCCAGTGCATGGGGCCGGGTCGAGGTCAGACCTCCTGTGCCCCAGCTCTTTTGGGAAGTCATCCCAGGGCTGAAGACAAAACTGAAGTGGAAATAAACACAGGGGTCCAAACACTCCAGAATTCTGAGTGAGTGAATCTCCTCCCAAGCTTCCACGCTAGGCCTGAATGCAAACAAGAGGCAGCAGGGGTGGCTTGGGCCCCTAGCACAGAATTAGTGAGATTAGCTGAGAACCAGAGCCCAGCAGATGTCCCCTCTCTTAATGCGGTGACTCACTTGCCTCCCTGGTTGAGAATCGTATCCGGCTGGGCCTGAGCCATCCTGGCTGGCGGGGAGCTGGACGCAGGGCAGAGGTCGGAGTAAACACCCGTGCTCCAGGCGGGAGGTTGGGATGGGAGTGGTGACAAGGAGGACATTTCCACTCAGCCGAAAGAAGAGCCTGAGCTGCCGTATGACCGGAGGGGCTGCCTGGAGAGGTGGTGAGGACCTGGTCCCAGAGGTGTGCAAGCTGGCTACCCTTTGAAGACTAGGAGGATTCCAGTCCGCGCTGGGAGGGTCCCAGGCAGGATGCCAGTTCAGGTCTCTTGCATGAGATTCTCCCAGAGACACAGGCAAACAATTTTCTGGGAAGGGTCAGATGGTAAATATTTCAGGCTTTGCGGGTCATCCTGCTATATCTGTTGCAACTGCTCAACTCTGTCACTGTAGCTTGGAAGCACTCATAGACAGTACTTAATGAATGGATGTGGCTGTATTCCAATAAAACTTTATTTGCAAAAACAGGCAGCGGGCCAGGGGTGGACCCAGAGCCACAGTTTGCCAACTATATAGAACCTATGGTCTAGGAACTGTGGGCGGGGGTCTGGGGGCTCTCCTGGAAGCTTGTGAATTTCAGGGCAATGACCAGACTCATGCATTTGACTCTGCAGGTGGTGCCCTCCACCTGGATGAGTTTGTTTTTCTATTTTCCCCTCCCTCCCTCCCTCCCTTCCATCCTCCCTTCCTTCCTTTCCACCCATTCACTCATTTACCTCTCATTCACCCATATACGTCACTGTTTCAACAAATGTCTGCTTCATGCTCTAGCTCTCTAACTTATTCACTGAATCACTCACTCACTCATGAATCCATTCAGTCATTTACTTTTCTACTGGAAGCTCAGGGTTCTCTTGTGGAAACTGTGAAAATGCTAAAGGAACTGGAATTCTTTTATCTGGGGAGACTGGAAAGGTGCAGGGATTAATGATCGTCTTTTAGGCGCTGTTACATTTATAGGAAGAAGATTCTGGGCGGTTCTTCATTCATTCATGAGTCCTGCATTGTTTGCATACACAAAGCCTCCTGTAGTCGAGGCTCTGTACTAGGAATACAGTGGCAACGATGCTGTCCTCACTTTCCCGGAGCCCGTGTTCCGTTCTAGACTCAGGTTGTGAATGGATGTGGTGTTCCAGGCAGGAAGAAGAGAACAAAGACCAAGAGGAGAGGCAGGGAAGTGTGTTCCAGAAGCAGAAGTTGGGTCTCGCTGGACTACAGTGTGTGCGAATTTGTGTGTGTGTGCGTGCGCAGGTGTGCGTGCAGGTGTATGTGCGCACGTGCAGGTGTGTGTGCGTGTGTGCAGGTGTGTGTGCCGGCGTGTCGCAGATGTGCATGCAGCTGTATGGCAGGTGGTGAGAAGTGGAGCTGGAACCCAAAGAGCCTTGAATGCCAGACCAAGGAACTTGGTTCTTCATGCTGGAAACAATGGGAAGCCATAAGGGAGAGCTGTAAGCAGGGGAGGGCATGGCTAGGCTTGGAATTTAGAAGCAATCTCTTGGCCATCTATGGAGAATGGGTCATTCAGATGTGAGCCTCTGTGAGGGCTTCCCCGGGGGAAGGGGCCTTTCAGCTGAGCCAGAATGGGGGCATTTCCAGCGTGGACTTCCTGCAGCCATCGTCCCCCTGCCTAACCTTTGGCTGCCCCTTCCTCCCACTGGGGTCTTCCCCACAGGGGAGAGGATGGTGGAGGCAGGAGCAGTGCTTCCTGGGAGTCTAGGCTGCCTAGGCAGGGGTGGAGCTGAGGGACAGGAGGTGATGGTAGGGGGGTGGGGAGATGTCTCTCTCCTCTCCTCTCCCCGATGAATAGACTCACGCTCGGCCTCTGGATCTCACCAGTTCTACCTTTTCCTGCCTCCT